CGAACTTGGCACACGCACTGACGGCTAGACACAGTTCGCCTGTACAGCAAAGTTGCCCGCACCAGCTTCACAGCGACTGCGCAGGGCATTCTGAAACACAGCCGAAAAGCATGAAAAATGGGCTAAATTTCTCTGCTTCAGCAACATTGGCATAGGGACTGTTAGCTAAAACTAAGCTTGGCACGTGCTAAACAGATGTCTTAGCTGTGAATTGCTCACTTACTAACCTTTATAAGCCAGCATTTTTCAGCCATGTTTCATTACAACACGATGGTCCAATCACGCTCGCTGCCTGACGTCGACAGAAGACGAGCCCTTGCCTGGCTTCCAGATGGCTCCACGTTCCCAGTCGTTGCACACAGACTTCGGGGGTCCCCATCAGTCATATAGAGGCTGCAAGAACGATTACGAGCGACCAGAAGGGTCAAGGACAGACCTCGACCAGCGCCACGCCGTTTGACCAACACCAGCATCGACCGGTTCATCGTCAGACAGGCCGTGACGTCACGAACCACCACTATAAACCACATCAGGGACCAACTACAGGTGACAGAAAATGTCCACGAGAGCGAGGAGACGGTAAGGAACCGTATCCGTAGAGCCAGATTCGCTTCTTGTGTCCCTGCCAGGCCCCCAAGGCACACGCCGCCCCACAAAGCAGCTCGCCGGGTGTGGTCTGCTCGCCATTCACAGTGGACACGACGTCAGTGGTACCAGGTAGTCTTCTCGGACGAATCCAGATTCAACTTGCTGCACCCAGACAGGCGAGCCCACGTCAGGAGGTGCCGAGGAGAGATGTTCCACCCTGAGTGTATCCAGCAGGTGGTGCCCAACGGTGGAGGGTCCGTTCTGGTGCGGGGAGGCTTCTCAGCTCACCACAAGACCCCCCTGTACCGTATACAGGGCAATTTGACCGCGGCAAGTTACAGAGAGGAAATTCTGCGTCCCCTTGTTGTTCCTCTCCTGCAGCAGATGGGACCCCAGGCTGTACTGCAGGATGACTACGCCACGCCACATCGCATAATTATAGAACTTGGTGTCTTGCTCAATTATTCTGGTCTTGCTGGGGTGACGGTGGAAAAAGGGAGGGAAGGGAGCCGATTGTTTTCGGCCCAGACTCTGACGGCCGAGTGCCTATCGCTCCTCGTTATAATTCTCCTTATACTTCTATTTAATTTATATCTTCTCTAGACGATTCCTCATTTCGCCGGTTAGACTCATATGGGCCAGGTAAATTATTAGTGGGGAGAAAGCGATAAATAAACACCAACCAGGAACTATAGGTGGCTAAAAATTCAATAAACAAAAAAGATTAGCGCTATGCTGACAATAAATGTTCTGATGATAGTCAGAGAAAGGCTGAATGATCAATACATGCAGTGGCGGTGGGTAGTGAAGGGCTCACGGGCTTGAGCCCCCCAACCCATCCCCCAAGTCTATCCCAAGGCAAATAAAAATAACGAAATAAGCAATTGAAACTGTTCTGATCGACAGCAATGAACACAGAGTGATGAACTTGGCGGTTTGCTCGTTTATCCAATCACTGTTGTCCCCGCTTACAATTATAGTAGTCTAACAGCCAATCAAATGTCTTTAGGGCTCAGCGATCAACCAGCCCGTTCCCACGGTCTCTCCTTAATGAAGCCCTTCTTGTAAAAAGATAGAAGACTTGAAGAAAATAACACTGCACAGAGGGCTCACGCTCTCCCAGCCCAGACAATGGGGTGAAAGTTTACGACACACTTTCCCCCAGTGACATAGTTACCTATGCGCCCATTGGGCCTTTGTTAGGCGCGTTCTATTTTCTGCAACAACACGACACAATCCACCTCATAGACGATGTGTGTTTGGAGTGCTGTGTGTTTGTGCCGCTGAGATTTAACAGTTATTAATTACATCAAACTATTTTTGCGGCAACTTTTTCATCAAATAAAAACGAATTAGAAAAATTTTGAGGTGAAACGGCTTCGTCCCCATCATCCAGAAGAATTTAACGTAGAACAAAGAGATGGAAGACAATAGACAAGGGTGACTCTTCTCGTTAGATTGGTTCTCAAAATGCCGTGGCTCGCCGTGAGCATAGAAAAATCATCACTGTTTTGTTCTTATTGCTTGTTATTTGGTGGTAAAGAAGTGGAAGAAACCTAAGCCCCACCCAAATCTTGGTCCACCCACCGCCACTGAATACATATATATTGCTGATAAAACAATTCATGTGTCTGTGCTGCTCAAGACAGTCTCATTCTTAATTTTGTAAACAACTCAGAGGCCAATTTGGCAATCAAGGGATGCTCTATTCGACATTCGTTCTAAGGGCGTCGATGGATTTGCCCAGCAGACTGACGTCATCGCTGAACCCACCGAGTTCGGTTTATCCCAACTCCTTGGTTTATCCTCATACAAAGTTCCGCGACGTGACGGTTTGACGGGAGACGATTTAAAGTTACGAGCCGGCGCGATAAACAAACGTGAAGGAATGAGGCTGTCTCGACAAAACAGCAGTGAATCCCACATGTCTATTTGAGCGTCTTCAAATCGGCAAGGTGCTTTTGGAATGTTGATACATGTTTGTGTGGATTTACTTAAAACTGAATTAAAATCATCAGCAGCAATAAATCTCTTGTCAACAGTCCAGCTGACAAAATTTGACCGTCACCGCCGGTCTTGTTTAGTTAACAAACCGCCCCAGTGCATAGGTCTGATAAGTATGACTAGAGTTTTTAAAAAATAAAAAAAGGAGAAGAAAGCTAAAATCTTAGATGGACAACCAAAGTCTTTAGCTGTTAAAACAACACAAAATACAGCAGATGCTGGTATTTTTCCCCTTCAGCCTCAACCCCTTCCCCTCAATAAAAAAATTATTAAGAAATAATAATTACAACCTAAGAAACAAAAATAAACAAAAAAGAACAATATTCTTATCCCCCAAAGCACACACTTCAAAAAGCAGGGTGGAAGTAACAACATAAAAACAATTGGCAAGAGCAGCATTGATCGATAAGCAGCAATATTTGATTAGGTATCTTAAAGAGCAGTCTTTTTTAATTAAAAAAAAAAAGAAATGTAGATTGTGTATTATATGTATTTTGTTTGTGAAACTATATATAGTTTCACAAACAAAATACATATAATATACAGTCGAACTTGCCTTTACGGAAACCTGCATAAAACGGAAACCTGTCTTAACGGAATCTCCCCGCGATCCCCCCTTGATATTCCTCTTTAATTACCTGTATAAAACGGAAACCTGTCCAACGCGGAAACGGAAAGAAAAATCCGCTCCCTTCAGAGGGTTTCACCTGTCTAAGACGGAAAACGCTTTGCCCGCTCAGCCCTGACTTGAAAGAAAACTCGCAAGTTTGGTCCCGTCAGCTCTAAACTTATCGCTATGGTCATGCCGCTGGATGAGGAAGGGGAGTAGGGGTGCAAAATTTAGGGGGTAGATAAGTAGCTTAGAACTTTTATTCTCCTTGGGTAGACGTGACCTCATCATATGAGCCCGGAGCGGTGCAGGGTGTGAAATCTCACGACTGCCCGTGAGAGTGCTGGAACAGCGAGCCACTACGGAAACTTTCCTGGGTAACCAGAAGCCAGAGGTGTGAAATTAGATTGACCAATGCCTGCCGTCCTGATCGTATGGCTAGCAGAGAAAAGAGTTCCTCGAATCGTTGTTACAATGATGGCAGTGAGGGGTAGCATTGGTGGGTGGGGCTAAGGGTGGAAGTGTGGAAGCAAAGGAGATGTTCAAACGTTTCTGTTGTATAATAGGTCAAACAGTAGTCATATGAAAGGCAAGCACTGGTGGTAATTGGATAAGTAAAAGTGACGCACGTCATTATCAGACAGGATAGCAGTTGAGAGGTGTGAAGTTTTGACCACTGCTTGCCGATCGGACAAGCGATCCTTGATCCCACCGGCTGGACCTTTGAACCCCCCCCCCCACCTCCCTCTTAAATTCCCCTGTCTAAGACGGAAAATGATCTCAGACGGAATTTTTCCCCCGCTCCCTTGCGATTCCGTCTTACACAGGTTCGACTGTGTATGTTGTCTAAGCTTTGGATAATTACATGGTTGCCTTAATCAAGGGAAAGAACTAGACTTAGAAAAGCTAAAGCAGTTTTCCTTGGGTAGTCTACCTTATCATCTACAGTCCAGGGATTCAAAGAGTAACACACTGGTTATGTGTGAAGAGTGAATGAAATAAAAGGCAACTTTAAAGCGGAAACATACCATTATTATATCACAGCTATGTGGATTCATCTGTCCACATTAGAAGGACTCTGATAATAAAAACAACATTAAGAACGACAAGTATTCCAAAGAAGAAGAAGAAGACGAAGGAGGAGGAGGGAGAGAAGGATCGGAGGAAGAGGAGGAGGAGGAGGAGCAGGAAGTGGAAGAGGAGGAAAAGCTATAACAATCAGCAACAACAAAACAAACCAACAGCAAAAACAAAACAATGATAACAACAACAATAATAACGCGGCCAAATAAAATTTTTAAAAAAATGTACGTTTGTACTGGCCTGGTCGTGTCGTACTTTTGTCCTTTTTTAAAACACTTAATTGATTTATGTCTAACCCAAGAAGAAGCGCATTTTATGTGCTCACCTCCCACACATTGACTCAAAGCAATTTAAAGACGTGGGTCAGACATATACTAATGAACTAATGTAAACAGGTGCATTTAGGATTATATGCGTAAAGTCACTCACTGACAGAGATACACACAGACAAACCGACCAATAGACATGATACAGACACACGCACACACATACACACCCTCACACACAAGCACTTATTATACACGCTCGCACACACAAACGTGCATAAGACGCCCGTGCGTTTTCCTATTGACAGTCCGCTGACAGCCGCGAAGGGGGCGTGGTCGTTAAAGGTGATGTGCCGGTTTAAATTTCCAATTTGAGCGAAGTTGAAACTGTTGTACGATTATATTTCTTCTTTATAAATATGATGGAGTTTTAGTATTCTTCTCGAGTAAATTATTAAAAATTATTGATGATTTTTAAAGAGGTAGGCGGAGAAAATTTTTTAATTAAATCGATGTCTTATTTTTAGCAGTCGCACATGGGATGCATACGTAAAGTCTCGTGACTAAACCGGCTTTTCGTTACCCCACGAGAACTGGGCCCTGACAAACGGACACGGCAATGAACTACGACGGCACGAATGGTACTGAAATGGACACTTCTGATTCAAGGAAAAGACCTTTAGACGGCGAAACAGATAATGGGGTCACCAAGAGATCTAACCAGGGTGGAGGTTAGGATGCTTTTTGGATTATATTTATGTAGGAGCGAAGAATTTGCACCTTGTCTTATTGATGAACGGCCAACATGGCGGCTCGGATCGTGCAGCCGGTGATCGCGATTTACTGCACTTTCGTTCTGATTTTATTAGGGCTCGTTTGTTTAAGTTAGGGTTTGAAATGCTTTCGTGATTGGTAGATAAATATTGATTTGTTTTATTCATAGTAAGTATCAGGTTATGGTGAGCTTTTTCTGCGTGAAGCCAGTGAAATCCGACGTCCGGGTTGACTTTCGTTGTTTCGTGTAAGGACATGCATGCGCAAACGTGTCAATATATGATGAATTTTGCAACAAATTTTGCTATTATCAACATTATTGAGCGAAAAAAATATGAAAATGTTAGCTTTATTTTAAATCTAAAAGTTTGTGGCAGTGCTCATGGAAGTATGTAGTGGATTATGCCTTCACGTATGTTTGTTCTGACAGACGGAAGTTACTGCTGCGGTCACCTCAGCTGAGCCGCGAAGGGCATGCATACTAAGCGGAAAATTATGACGTTGACCGACCTAAATTCTCGCAAGTTTTGATAGATCAAGATCTAGATCTAGTTGAAAATGTTTTTTGTTTTACAATGATACTTTATTAGTTTATTTATTTGAGTATGTAAATTGTATGCTTAATCATTAAGGATCAACCTATTTCTAGGTCAGTGAATGATACGAGTGACTTCCACTTCGTTTGGACTCGTTTCTGTGCAACACACCCACTTGCAAGCTCAGTGCCTGTGTCGGTGTGATCAACGGCTCCTGCCCACGTGTCAAAAGCTACTCATCCTGATGTTTTAGCTTTTCAATTGATACTAGAGCTTCAAAGGCAGGTTTTCTCCATAACTATTGCACTGGAGCAAGAGGCAGATTGTTAGGGCTGCCAAAAAATAGTTCTCCAGCCAGGATACCTGGGAGTTCAAGACACCATACTGCAGAATGAGTGAACTTGAGGCCAGGGTCTTTCAAGGTGATGATGCAATTTTAACATTTTCCCTCATGTCTTCTGACAACGTTTCGTCATCATTCATCGACATCGCATCAACATCGATCATTGAATCAGTTCACCTGCATTCCTCCTCTTCAATGGTTTGGAATTGATTTCGTCATAATGACAATAATGTTGTAGAACAGGAAAGCTAGAATCTAGATCTGTCGAAAGTTTACAGTCGTAGGCTAGACCTATGCATTCTTATATATTTCTGCACCATGTATGTTAGAACTGTGTGCTTTTAGCAAACTCTGAAGCTTCAACTCAGTTTAGGTTTGGGAGCTGTGTTGTGGATTTTGTGTTGAAATAGTTGTGCCACATCTTCATTTAGTTCATTGCCTGTGATTTGCATTCTGAGAAGCCTTCTGAGAATGGAAAACTGCTATCACCTTCAGCTATTTATGACTGCCCTACACCCTTTTGGTGTTAAGAGTTTTAAAAAAATACTTAATAAACAAGCATAATTTCTAGATTGTATTTATAGGACTCGGGTGTGGAAAGCTTGAAGTGGAAGGGAGTTCTCACAGACTGTGCCTTAGGTTATAAATGGTAGGCTACAAGTACAAGGGCATTTAAAATATTATAATTTATAGTAGTGGATATGAACGTTTTCAAACTTGTTGATTTTCTCATAGGATTCAGTCATAAATTTAGGAATATTTTGTGCTATTGTACAAGAACTGCCGCGGGCTGTGTTTTCCTTGAATTATGGAAGCAAGATTGTTGCTGTGCTGTGTACTATAGGATCTGACGAGTTCCTCGCTGTAATTGTTCTGTAGATTTTTTCTAGAACTTTGAATTTTAATTGAGTCATCGGCTGCTTTTCCTTTTTTTGGACTGAAACCATGCACAAACCACAAAATCTCTGACATATCTCCGTCACATTTTAGGCCACAAAACCATTGATGCAGTAATTCATGCACATTGACAGTCGTCACCGCCATTGTTAAGCGCTCCTCCATTGACAATACTGTGCAACTACTTCGTCGTACTTGTTGTCTTGTCATGTCATGCCTTGGTACTGTTAGTATACACTCTGAAAACTATGATCTATGTGTACAGTTCAGATGTTATTGTGTTTGTAACTTATTTAAGTCTAGGCCTACTAAAACTTTTAAAACATAAATGCAAGCCTGTTTACAAATAATTTATTTTCCTGTGTCCATGACTGGTAACAGTTTGCACAGGTTTTTCAGAATTTTTCTTGTCATACTCGATTTAAAACGTACACATAGTGTCAGAAATCCATAATGTCTATAAAATATATAGTATAAAGTCGCTCCTTTGGAAAAATCGTTTCTAGATTTATATTGCTGATGATTAAATGCATGTTTCAGCCTGCACCCCTTTTTTGATCTCTTGTTGATGAGTCATGTATGAGGTCCAATTGCCAAGCAGAACAAACTTCTTTTTCATGGAGTGGTTTAAATTTGTATATTTTATAAGCTAGATCTAGATCTATATTAAATTAAAATGTTCTTCTGCATGATCCAGATCAGTCATTTTCGGGGTTTTTTTTTTTTTAATTTGGGCTCTGGAATTTGGGTTCTGTGTATGCCTGTCACTTTTTGCAGTTTTTTTTCATTTTTTTTTTCATCTGGAACATTTGGAAGAACTCTGACATAAATGATTGTTTTATTATCCCTTTTTGTAGAAGTATTGTTTGTTTGTTCTGCTGGAATTTTAAAAATTAGATTTAATTTTTAAGATAAGTGTATGGCAAAGAAAATCAGCAAAATAAAAAAAAGAGAGAGAGAGAGAGAGAAACATATTTTTGACATTTTCATTTTACAGAGACATTGATAAGTGCTGTGCCGGATAATGTCCCAAACGGTATGTATATCTTTTTTCCCCCCAATTTTCCTTATTTCAGGACATTTCGAAGGGTTATCTGTCAATTGCTGCCTTTTTAGTAGTGTGTAGGTTGTAGGTACAATTGCTGCTCTATTGCTCGAGTTTTTTGTCCCTGCCACTACCGTGATTACGTCTTATTTGGTTATAAAATATGTCCAGCATTTGGCTGTTTACTTTCTTCTAATGTATGTGACTAAAGGCTGCAATTAATAACAATATTTGTAAAACTTGTGTAAAGTGAGTTTCCATATTCCTCCGTTGAAACTCTTTGGCATTGATTTTCTGTTTTCATTGGACTTCTCTCTTGCAGTATTTATCATAATTTTACCCGCACTTTCATGAAAAATCTTTCTGATGTATGAATTTCAGCCGTTGACTGAAGAAAGATCCCTTTCCTTTCATAATTTTTTTTGTCATGCTTTCAATAAAAAGCCTAGAGTTATGATTTAACTACCCTTTTTTAAACGATTGGAAAACTCTAAGAGTAAACTGAAGAGGGTTTGGTATTGTTGGAGCTATTATAAAAACTGATAGAAAATTTAACTTGAAATTGCTCTCCTTTGGTTATCACTTTTTAGGACAGCAGTGAATATTATTGCAATTGGTCGGTACATTTTCTGTTATGAGAAGTGAGCCTTTCTTTTTATTGAAGGCCAGTTTAGTTTAGTATTAATTCTTCCCATTAATTCTTTTCGGACGTAGTTTTTTGGGGGTCTAGACATAATTAACTTGTGGCTCAATTTGGCTATGCAGGTGGTGTACAAAATAACTTCATGGAAGCAAAACCATCACTCAAAATGTAATGTATGATATATCAAATTGAAGAAAATTGAATGTGGAATACATCCCAATTTGAAACAAGGATTAATTTTGAACATAAGTATGCATTAGAAATGTTAGAAATGTCGATGGTGATGAGAAAAATTAATTTTGACGGAAAAAATTACATTCACCAAACTTGTGAAAGCAAATCAGCATAGGTATCTTATCATATACAGGCCAAGAGCATAATCCATAAATTTCTGAATGCGCAGCTTTTTATTTGAAAGCAAAATTCTAATTTTTGTTTGAATTATAAATGATATTTATACCGAGTCCGGTTACATCGTTTTGTTGATACAAGACCGCAAGAACCAATTCACTCGTTTTTCCCCAAACCCTCGCTTTGAAAAAGTGAAACTTGATGTTTTCGTTTCCTAAATCCTTTCTGAGTTTTTCAATAGCAATAAAAAGTATTTATAAATGATATATATATATCATTCATTGTATAAAACTGCTGTGTGCCATTTTGAAAAGTGACATTTGATGGAGTCTAAACACTTATCATTTTATTTTTTACATTTCTTATAAATTTTCAAACAAATGTATTTTTATACACTAAATTTATAGGAAAACCAGTGCTTTTGACCAACTGGGGAAACAGCGAGGTCAAGGGTTGAAAATTAAAATTGTCTTTTGTTAGCTCTTTCTTGTGAAGTCTGATGTTCGAGGTTTTTACTTTTATGTTGTCTTTTAAGCTCTTGTGCTTCAACTTTTAATATATTTTAGTTACAATATTGAACCATTGCCACTCTTTCTTCCCTCTCTCAAGTTTCAGTGGTCTACGGTCTCTTCGTTTATGCTTCTTGCTTAAACAGGGATAATGTTTCCTATACACAATTCCTGTATAATCAAAATGCTATGATTTGGAACATCATCACAAAGACTTGAAAGATTTCACTGTCTTTTAATAGATTTCTTTAACACTTTGTTCTGAGAGTAGAGTTCCTAACCTTTTAACATTTACTTGTTTTATGAAAGGCACTACAGGTGGCTACATTCCCATTCCCCCTTGTTTGTTAGGATGCCTTGTGAGTTTGTGTTTTTATTTATCTGGGTTGATGATTGTAGCTTCTCATATGCAGCCAAAAGTGAACAATTTTTCAATAGCAGGTCTAAAAGTCTATGTTTAGACCTGTTGTCCATCATCATGTAGCCTAATCAGGTTCTTGTCAAAAGTGTTAAAATGAAGAAATCGACATTTTTCCGACTGTTGGGCAATATTTTTGGGTGGTTTTTTTTTAATGTTTTAAAATTTGGTGTAACACCTTTTTTGACCTTTTAAATACACATTTCAGGGTGGGTGAGCTGAAACAAAAGTTGTTAGTCAAGGCACAGAAAAACGAAAATTTACAGGTTTCATGGACACTCAAGCATATGGGGAAAAAATTGATGGAAGCCTGAAAGCATGTTGTGACACACATGGAACTGAAGTGTTGTTTGGGAAACATGTATTGCTTTTAAACCTTACTGTTACTGCTGATACTTGAAATTCTGCTGAGGGCCACTCAGGCTCTGTTGAGTTATGTATTATGCTGCTTTATTAATTTTTTTTTTTAACATTTTGTTCAGTAAAACATTTGTTCGCTTTAGTTGAAGGTGTTCTTATAAAAATTTGTTTTTAGTTGTCATTTTAAGGTAGCAATGCCTGGCTTTGCATATAGAAACATTCGATTCGATATTGTATATTAATTGTTCAGCTCTTTGCAAAGTGTTTTTGTCAAGTATCTCTTCAGCTTTAGTTGGTTATGCTTTAAAAAAAAGATTTTTAATCTTTGTGTTTGGAACATGTTCGCAAGAATAGAAATCTGAGATAAGGAAGGGAAAGGCGTCTATTAACTTCACTGTTTTCATGAGTTATGACATTTGTATTTATACAGAGAAAGGGGTGTCAGTCATATTTGTTTCATAGACTTGATTTCTACAAGGTTATATCTTAAGGTCACACAAGTAATTTTTGCAGCCTGTGATTCTTATTTCTCTTTGAAAAGTAGAAAAGTAATTAAATGGAAACTTATTACTGTAACACTTTTGTTCATCTGTTGAGAAATTGGGATGATTTTGATAGAATCCAAAATTCTATTTTATTGCGTGCATGAGACATGAGTAACAAAGATGTCACAATTTATCCATTGAGCGATATTTCTGGATAATATTACTTAAAGCCTTTAATTTTTAAGCTCAGATGAACAGCAAAGTAGTTGATTGAGATTGGTTAAGAACATAGACAGTATGACGACAGTTTGTTGGTCAGTTCGAAATATTGCTTCATATGGGAAGGGAGGGGATATGGCTGCTTCATGAATTGCTTTATGATTTGTGCGTTTCAGTTCATGTCAGTGTTTGGGGTACAAAAATAGAATATAGAACTAGATATTTTTGAAACTTTATAGTTCTTGGCAACAGTGTGTTCCTTTTTTGTATTCATCTTTTTGTAAACTTCGTCAAGCATCTTGTAAGAGTAATATATTTTTGTTGATCTAAGAGTTAAGACTCAACAGTACACATTACAAACATAATTTGGTCAGATGCAATTAACATGTTTAGGTATATAAAGTGTCTAGTCTTACATCTTGTTTCTTCAAGAAAAAAACTAAAACGGGCTTGATTCAATTTCTTCGATGAGTACAGAATTAGAACTAATAATGATGAACTGGTTTAATCCCATGTGAAAAGTGTGAAGTATCCATAGCAAGATTTACTTTTTTGATGAAAGTGCTCCTGTATTTGGCTTCATTAATGCTAGAGATGCTGGAGCTGAACCATTTATTAGTCTCTTCGTTTGTATCATCATTTTCTAAAATTATCCTCCTTTACGTAAAAAAAAATTCATATCTGTAGAACAGTAATATGGTTTTCCTGCTACCTTGAGTGTTTTTCATGCTGGTGTGCAAAGAAATGACGCTCTTTTCTATATGCGCCGAATTGCAGCTCATTATGGATGGATTAGAGACAGTTGAAAGATATTGTTTTGTGTTGGAAATATTTTTTCAAGTTACTCTTTATCTAAGCTGGTGTCTTAAAAGTGTGATTGGATTTATCTTCACAAGTATATATATATATATATATATATATATATATATATATATATATATATATATATATATTTTTAAAAAATGTTTTTGTCTGTTTGCAGTCCTCCACTATGGAAATACACCTGGAGGATCATGGCAGACCACTTCTGATGCCATGCAAGGGCAAATGGGAACTGGCGAAGGAGATGCTTCCGCAACTGATGCTGGGAGTGAGTATTGCACTTGAGTTTGTCTGCTTGAAAAGCTGCTTTATTTTTTTTACACTGTTGGGATGTGTTGTTGCCCCCTTTGGATTTGTTTGTGTCATGAAATTCATTTAATAGAGACAAGGTTGTCCTCAATGTTAGAGTCTTAATTACGCATAAAAAGAACCCTTTTCTTTTTCATTTCTGTCACATTACTATTTGTACGAGGCATAGAACGTTTTTTGAACATTAAAGACTTTTTAGACTTAAATGAATAATAATAATGGATAGTGGGTGGTTGGCGGGTGCTCTGGTGTGGTTTGCTTCTTCTTTCCTATCAAACGTCTATCGTCCTTATCTCCCCTTCTTCTTTTTTATGTTTGTTACTCTCTTTTAACACCTCTAATCTGCGGCACTTATATGACCTTATTGTGTTGCAAGTGCCGTAAAACTCTTACTAAAACTATAACTAACTAATAATGGATTGCATTTATATAGCGCATATCCACTTATGTAATGCTCTATGCGCTTAACATGATACATATTATGGATTTACAAATCAATTTTAAAGGTACATAGTGTTACATACTCATGCAAACACATATTCACTCACGCACGCACCACACATACGTACATATGCACATACGCACATACAAACTCACAACGATCTACAGCTTGGATGCATTCTGTCTAATCGAAATATGATGAAAATAGAAATGCTTTTAGTTTCTTCTTAAAAATTTCTAGATTTTCTGCTTCTCTGATAGTATTTGGAAGCCTATTCCAAACAGGTGGGGCAAAATATGAAAAAGAGCGTTGGCCATATGATTTGTAATTTATTTTAGGCTTAACAAGGGTTGTTTTGTCACTTGATGATCTGAGCGTTCTAGGAGGCACATAGGGTGTTAAAAGCTGTTTTAGATAGTCCGGTGATAAATCATTTAAGCACTTGTAGCAAGTTAAACAGATTTTATATATGATACGCTCTTTCACTGGGAGCCAGTGTAATGCTTTTAAAATAGGAGTCACATGATCATGCTTTAGTTTTAAGTAATTATTTTGGCAGCAATATTTTGTACTCTTTGTAGTTGTTCATCAGGTACACCAGCCAGTAAGGAATTGCAATAATCAATCCTTGACAATACAAGTGATGTTATTAAAGTTTTGGTGACACCAACAGATAGATATTTTCTAATGCTCCCTATTTTCTTCAGCTGGAGATATAGATTTTTACAAAGATTGGATACATGGTATTTCATTGACATATCTTGATCTAGCACCACACCTAAATTTCTTATTTTAGTTTGGGCTGATATTTCGTGGCCATTGATGTCTATTCTGATATTGTCGATTTCATTACATGCGCTGCTACGAAGAAATAACATTTCGGTCTTATCCTCATTTAATTTTAATTTGTTCTTGAACATCCATTTTCTTATATCATTGATACATCTGGCGATTCTATCTATGAGATTGTGTACATTGTCAGTTGTAGTGAATCCATACAGCTGTGTATCGTCTGCATAAAGATGGTAATTGAGGGCATATAAAGAAATTATTGATGACAGACATTGCGTGTACATTGTAAAGATGACAGGACCAAGGACCGAACCCTGAGGAACTCCGTATTTTAGAGGTAACCTAACTGACACATCATTGCCAATTTTCACTGACATAAATCTATTTTCTAGATATGATTTAAACCACATTAGAACAGTACCTGATAGTAAAAATGACTTTTCCAATTTCTCTAGTAAAATTTCGTGGTCGATGGTATCGAACGCCGCTGACAAATCGAGCAGAACCAAAACACAGACTTTTTTATTATCGATTTCATTTAAAACATCTGATGATACCTTTAAAAGAGCGGTTTCCGTACTGTGGTGCCTTTTATAAGCAGATTGAAAAGGTTCTTCCATGTCATTGGCCTTTAGATGTTGTTGAACTTGACAGAAAACGATTTTCTCCAGGATTTTTGATAAAAAGATATAAAAGACTTATAATAGATTTTGATGAACATGCTCGTTTTCTCTTGGATAAGTGCACTAAGCCAACACCAGTGTAGTTTTCTAACATGTAGTAAGGTTCTGGAGAAGGCAAAAAGTGCTTGAGCTTTGTCTATCAAAGTGTGATGATGAAAACAAGGTGTTTTGTCTGGTCTTCCTGAGCCCTTACTTCACTTAAATTTTGTTTTGTACTGGGGTGAGGCTTAATCATGGTTGTTCACTACTTTTTAAAAATAAAATTTGTGATTTGTCTACTCAGAAATGTTCTTTTGCCTAATAGTATAGGATTGCATAATGTGGCCTCTATGTGTCTAAAATTCAGACTTGGGTTCATGTTTGTCTCATTGTCAATGCCTTGTTTTTATATCTTTATTAGATTAATCTTGTCGGTAGTGATGTCTTCTTTTGCCAGCTGCTTGGGTACACTTTGTGGGTTTATAGGTGGCAGCTAAATGAGTTTGTTTGGTGTATGGTTCCTGCTTCTTGAAGTTTTTATATATGGTGCTTGTCTGTTGTTACACGCCTTAACTTTAAGGAGTTTTGATAAGGCACCTGCCAATTTGCTACAAGACTTCTTAATAGGTGGTTGGTGGGTGCTCTAGTGTGGTTTGCTCCTTTTTTCCTATAAAAAATCTGTCATCTCTATCTTCCCTCCTTCTTTTTTGTGTTTGTTACTCTCTTGTAACGCCTCTAATTTTTGGCACTTATATGACCTTATTGTGTTGCAAGTGCCATAAAACACTTACTAAAACAAAACAAGACTTCTTTGTTCACACTGTGCACTTTTAAAAAATTGTTTAATCTGGGAGATTGATCAGTGTCCCTTATTGTATTGAGATATTTTTGTTAGCCGTTTTGGCACATTTTGGGAGTTTCATTTCATTCTTAAAGAAGATTGTTTCTTCACACATGTACATGTATATAACAACCCTTGTTTGTGTGAAAATCATTTTTGTGGAGAGGATGGGAAAGAAGTTACATGGAAGGACAAGGATTTGAGAAATTAGTGGAAATTAAGGGAGGGAAAAGAAAAGTATCTTTTCCCTATGGTACTCGTGTCATCAGAGTATTCTTTTTGACGTTTGAATCAATTAAGTGTCTTAAAGTCAAATGCTGATATGACTTTATTGAAGTTGCCTTCACTGGCTGTAGCAATGGTTAAAGCATAATATTTGCTTGATGCTTTTATGATGTGTACTGGAAAGTTCTCCGCTCAGTTCAGTAACCAGCTCGTTATTATTTTGTGGTTTCCGCTGCATACCACAGGCAAACCGTGCTTATGCATTGTATGATTTTCGAGGCCCGAACAACAGTGCACCCCCCTCCCCCAGTTTTTAAAATATTTATTCGAACATGATGGGATGTTAAGCCAAGAGTTAATCATGTCGTGCACATATGCTTCAACAAAACAGAGAAACAATTATTATGTCGTTCGTGTCTGGTAACCTATTCTGTTTTGTGTGCAAGTCATTGTAAGCTCTTTGCCACATCACTCAGTTGCGGGGCCAAAGTTCAAATGGTTGCATATCACTCGAAAGGATAACGACACAACTGAGGCAGTTATACTGCATTATTGTTTAGGCTTTTGTGAGCCTGTCTCGGTGGGTGGCGTGTGTGCATGTCGGGCTTTGTATTATTATGTTGTTATCGATATATTTACGTGTACATGATTGATGCACGAGAGAGAGAGAATCTGTTTTTCCATGTCCTCCTCTCGGGGGGGGGGG